TTACTTTTAGTGTCCTTCATACTCTCAGAGGGATGCAATGTCTTTGATCGGTAGATGGAAATTATGCAATGAGGGAAAATATTCTGTTAACATATTAAAGTTTTTGTGAGTGAGTAGGGCTGTCTAATCAATATACGTGAAGATTAGCAATGCATGAACAACATTCTATGGTTTAAAGAAAAATAAATCAGTATTAATTGATGTATAATGCACATCTATGCTGTTCCATCCCAGTTATAACATCAGGTGCAAAATATTTTCATTACGCTTTCGTTTCATGTTAACTTGGTTGCACAAAAACCTGTAAAATTGTAATTGCATACTCATAAACTAAGTTTACAACACTGCTGCTTTGGTGTTATTTTCATGGCTTTTCATGACTTCCCTTTCTCCTTTTTAGTAAAAACAACTAAACGGAAAAAGACTTGTAAACTGTCTTTTCATTTGAAGGAAGGAAACTCATGTTCAAGCCTCCACTGGCCAGGCTGAATACAACTGAACTAGTATGCGAGGAAATATTGAGAAAACGTAATAGTAAAAGGGATTCTACCTTCCCTCAGCTGTGCAGTTCGTGTATGGCGCTGGAAAATTATTGTAATGGACGCCTTTGTCTAATTCACGGAGGGAATAAGTGGATTTAAAGGGAATGTTGGCAGCCAACATTGTAGCGTTCAACCTAATCTGCTTAACCCTGGCCTGAGTGACTGGACCCTACACTCTTCCATAAGTGGGTCTAAAAGGACCCGTATTAGAATGTGTTTTTATGCTATTTTGGTTAACACCTCTTAAGCCCCACGGAGCTGGTTCCGGGGCCGAAATCGCGTCATTTGCAGGAAACAACGTCTAAGGAACCTTAATAAAATAAACTATGAATATTGTACATCCATATAACGGGAAAAAACACATTTAACTGATCTTTTTCATTTTCTTTTTTTTTTTAAAAACACACAATGCTAACAGTGAGCCTCGGAATTAGAGCGAAAAATGCTAACCTATTACTGCACCGAAAATCACTCCTAGCTCCCTTATTACTTATCCTAGCTGCACATCCAACACATCGTTTATGATCGTAAAGACACAGAATCTAACGGTGCTCACCTCAACACTGAAAGATACAAAGTCGCGACGTTATTAACAAAAACGTACATCAAAACATGTGGCGCTAGGTAGCCTACAACGCTAACATGGCTTACCTTGGTTTTGTCTGGTCATAACTGGTCTTCAATGGCATTAAAACGATAACAACGATGCTGTAGTTAATCCATAGGTTAATATCCAATGTGTCTGTGTCCCCTTTGAAATGTTCTGATAATCTATAAGCAATAAAACTGCAATTCCGTTTTAAAATATCAGAGCAGGCCATTCCTACGCTCTATAGCAAGATTGAATGCGCGAAGACGAAACCTTTTTTTTTTTAACATGAGTGTGTGTGGGACGATTTCCTTTCGATTCTATTGGCTCTAACGATCAGAAAGAGATGTCACATGTCGAAATCGAAGAAGGGGGGGCCAGAGATAAGGAAAATCCACCCAAATGGCCCCATTTTGCTAAATCTGTCTAAAAAGGTCAAATATCACTTGTTTTGCATCAATCTTGATATAGGGTACTTATTATATGTTGTACTTTGGATTCCTAAAGCTTTTAGTCTACTAACCCATCATCCAAGGTTAGTTTTCACTATAAGTACAAAATATTTTTTGGACGGACACTATAATTTACAGTTTTTTTACCATGTTCAATCTGAATTTTCTTTAAAATAAAAAACATCTATATTGATTCTGACTTTTCTACATCCAACTCACAGGTTTATCATTACTTCGAGAAAAACGATTATTAATTTAACCCTTTTAGAAGGGAAGATATGGTCATTTGTTCTGGGAATGTCATTTTCGAGCCTGAAACCTGAAAAACAGGCTTGGGGCTTAAGAGGTTAAGAAAAATAATTTGTATAATATTTAGTATTATATTTTGGTTCACACTAGAAACATTTTATATTACATTTTTCACTATTTATAATCTTAGACATTTTATTTACATTTTGAAAAAAAACGTTTTCCCATAGGGTTCCATAGAAAATGCATGCGGGTCATTTTTGACCCACTTATTGAAGCTTGGGGTAGTAATACAAAAACTACAATTTCTTAAAATCTAAATTAAACATTTGAATGGCATGATGTCCAAAACATGTTTTTTGAGGAATAGCTGGAATATGAAATGATACATCTTTTTAATTACAAAGATACTTCAAGAAAACCACCTCACCGGGTCTACAAAGACAATTATGCATCTAAGGGTTAAACTGGCTAAATATACACATGTGCATTTACATTCTATCCTATTCAACCTATGTAAAGTAGTCTGTTGGTTTCTCATTGAGGTAAAAACTGTTTGATCTGGAGTGAAATAAAGTTAATTGAGCTGACATTTGTTTTTACTTTATATTTTCCATGTGTTATTTCCCAGTATGTTATTTTGAATCCATGATTGTTTTAGGCATTAACAGCAGCGCAAATTGCCCCACAGTAAAGCAATCTTTCTGTATGTAGTAACAAGGCAAGAGAACTCACTCAATGTTTTTCCAATTTTGCTCTTGAGGACCTCCACTGGTCAGGTCCATGTACTGCAGGCTGTTACATGCAATACACTACCATCATACATGACCATCAGTAATACACAGTGTACTACATTTGGTGTTCTATGGGAGCATGAAAAGGGGTTTCATAGGGGATTGGTTTTATCCTATAATGGAGTCGATAGGAGGGAATATGTTTAGCTCTATGAAACCTGATGTACTTATATGATTCTGTTTTCTTCAAGGTTGTATCTTCCTGGTCGAATGTACTTATTGTAAGTCGCTTTGGATAAAAGCGTCAGCTAAATGCAATGTAATGTAATGTAAACACTGATTTAAACCACAATTATATTTTCTTGCCTTTTAAAAACAAAAAAACAAGACAATTGATAAGAAAAATACTATTTATTAAAGAGAAAATAAAATAATCCTATTAAAATTCAAATGCATAATCCCTTTCTCTCTCCCAACACAGACATCCCAAACCAACATACAAACATTTGAAATGAATCGACCAAATGACATTCTTAAAGAGTTAATATGGCATCCCTTTGAATTTCATAAAATACATATAAAATGTAAATAAAGTCAGTCAAATGTTTGATGCTACAATACCACCACAATGTTCTTGGTTGCGATCAATTTACAAAATCCTATTGAGTTTAACAATATTTGAGCAAACAGTCGTCTAACAACATGACTCTAATTCATGAGCTTCAAAATGGCTACATCATACTGTAGACTCATGAAAAGATGTCCAGTTTATCAGGAATGTGAACTTAGGAATCAAAGTTATTATGAAGTTGTGAAAAAATAAATAGGAGTGGCTCGAGTACACTAACCATTCGTCCCTATAGTTAGTCATATTGCTCAGTCTTAGTTTTGATGGGCGGATAAATAAAGAGAAAACATGTTAAAGTTGTGACGTACCAGCAGCTACACTACCGTCAGAATATCATTTTAAATAAATAATTGTATTTAATGTATTTGATATGAGATCATAAGTAAGCTAGACTGGATTTTTTTCACATATCGATTACAAGTATTGATTGGACAAAAAATACTACAATAATTATGTCAAGGTCATAAATAAGAATCAACCACCATTTCTGCATAAAAGTCAAGCATGTAAGGCCTTACTGAATATATATCTTTGAAGAATGTGCATTCAAATAAATCTGAACGTTAGGGCTCCAAACAATGCTTTACAAGAGAACATTTTGATCATCAAAAGAGAGGTTGGAGTTATTAGGTTCTGGAAATAAAGCCAGTTGGCACACGGCATCCCAAGCCTTAGTGTACGGCCTAAAATATTAAGAATGTCATTTTATTTTTGACGTTTAGAGCGCCTTCAAAATTAAATTCACTCATTATAAGCTTCTCATAGCTGAGCAATATCAATATGAATGAGTCATTTCCAAAATAATGTATTATAATTGAATATGACTTGGTATTATCAGCCCTCTGTTTGTTGTTATTGCTATTTAGCGGTACTTGAGTTTTCCCTTTACTGCACACAAGAAGATGTTTTCATTATATACCCAATGAAATCACTCACGTTATGAAATAGAGCCGTAATATTAACAGCAAACATTAGATAATGAAAACCTCAGATATTGGTTTTAATATGTTCGCATCGTCCCATCGGTTGGACCCCACAGATGCATTCACAAAAACAATGATCTAACACTTGGTAAGTAGTGTTTTATAATCAATGATTTGAGTATATATATTTAGATAAATTCCTTATTTAAATTAGACAATCATTTTTGTTAATCAGGGAGTAAAAAAAGCAACTATATAGAGCTCCAAAATGAATCAGTCTGTGCCTCCCATAGTCCTGAGACAGGCCGTCATTGGGCAACAGGAGTGACTCCTCCTGTGTCTGTAGGGGCTTCAGAAAAAGGCCAAACAGAACGAAGCACAGCAAATACACATCGTTCATTTGTTTTCAGTTACCAACAATCTGCATGTTTTATGCCGTACTTTTTGTCATGTAGGCAACCGCATATTGCATAATTGAATGGCAGTTTGGCAGATAGAGGGCAGCCACATCTTGGCCACTTTTTTTAAGCATGCTGGCAACAATATTCAAACACATAATGAAAAAATGTGCAAAAAAACCTGTTAAACTTAAAAGGTAACCCATTATGCAAAATCCACTTTTTCATGTCTCTTATACATAAACATGTATCCCCTCTGTTTAAAGAGACACCAACCAAGGTAACCAAGGTAACCCCCCCCCCCTCCTTATCTCCTCCTAGAGCACCATTGTGTTCTTTTTAACCAAATATCTCTCAGAGGGGCGTGGGGAGTGGCTCCTTATTTTCATCTAAATGAACAGACAGAGAATCAGCACTTTTGAAACAGGGGTGAAACAGAGGGGATTATGGGTAATGCTGCAATGATCTGTTTGGTGTTTGGAGCCAAACACTTCAGAGACATGTTTTGTATATATCTGAGACCTATAATATATTGATGAAAAACAGTATAATAGGGGATCTTTAATTTAATGGTGTAAACTTATCAAAACAATGTGTATTTTGTGTGCTAAATGTGGAGTCTTGTACACACATATAGCCTTTCTGCACTGAGCGGCCTAAACATACTACATCAAATATATATCTGAATATCTTCTTTTGGTCACAGCGCGGCTTCCTGTTTGAAATCTCAACTCAGTGGCTTACCAATGTCCACGGTAACATTCACATATAGAGGGAGCCTCTCCAAGGACATTGTCTTATATGTGCAGCTGTTGAGTCCGTCCTTTCTCCAAACCAGCGGCGTACGTCCTAACAATCTCATTCTAGGGAGATGAATGAAAATAAATATCACAGATGCAGCATCAGATACAAACATTTCAACAAGTCAAAACACATTATCTGCATTGACTTACCGGTCTTTGTTTATTTCGTTGCCACTGTCCCGTTTGTGAAACACCATGGTGTAGCGAGCTATATCAGCGGGGGGGCGCACAATCTTCATTTTCTGCAGCTCCACCCTGCACCAGAGGACGGATCAGTGTCGATTAGTCAATGTTGGAAAAATAAATGAAATACTGTTTCACTTGTTTCTGTCTCTCACCTGACGCGGAGGTCATCATCTTCTCCGCCCCAGCCCCAGTAATTGTTTGAGAAACCATTCACTTGGAAAAACTGCTCTTTGTTCATAGCTGTGACTCCTCCAAAGTAGCCTTTGTAACGCAGCCTAGGAGTGGAATAATAAGCAGGACAAACGAAAGTTCTTTGTTTTAAGATTACATCAGAGCTTTTATGATTAGGTCAGGTTAAGGACAATGCCATTCGCTATTATTGTGTTGTGTTTTCACGAGGGAAATATAAAGTGTAACTGCGCTGACTCATGAATTACACTTACTTGTATCCTGTGGCGTTCCGGCCCACCACCAAGTGTTTGGGCTGCTTGTCACAGACGTATAAATTGTGATCGTTTTCAGGAACCAGGTCCACGTCATGGAAGATGAAGCAGTCCCAACTGAAGTCCTTCAGCGCCTCCAAATACCCGACATTGAGTAACTTGGCACGATTAAAAGTTACATCTCCAGCCTTTAAAAGAAGACACAAGTATATCAATCACAATCTGCTGCTGTCCTGGGCGACTGTGGCTGTGAGGGAGTGTGGTCGTCTTTCAACCAGAAGGTTGTGGGTTCGATCCCAGCCCATGCAGTCAACATGTCGATGTATCCTTGGGCAAGATACTTAACCCTGAGTTGCTCCCGATGGCATGGCCAACGGTGTGTGAATGTGTGTGAATGTTAGGTCCTAGAGTAAGGTACACTGCTCTGTATGAATGGGTGTGAATGGGTGAATGACATGTAGTATGTAAAGCGCTTTGAGGGGTCTTAAAGACTGGATAAAGCGCTATATAAGTACAGTCCATAGCTAATCATTTAAGCCCTGTTGATTTGCATGTCTCTAACACAGGGGTGTCCAAACTTTTTTCACCGAGGGCCACATAGAGAAAAATATACGAAGGGCTGGGCCACTCACTAGAGGTGAGGTATACTGCCTCATAAGTTAAGTTATACGTTAGCTAAATCAATCAAATGTAGGTAAAGGATGCTTGTGAGCAGCTCATCCCTTAATAAAACACAAGCCTCAGAAATAGGAAGGGTGTCTTTCAAGCTTGTTAAGTAAATAGGTCATTGGGCTTTTTTCTTATCAACTAGTAATAAAATGTTTCCAACTTGAATTGACTGAATTTATTTGAAAAGTGGTATATACTACTGTGTAATATATTTTTACATTTATAGTTAAGAAGTACAATATAAGACAAGCACAAGTTTCATTTGTGCATATTCCATTATACTTTTTGAATTTGCTGAGGGCCGATTTAAAATGGGGGCCGTAGTTTGGACACCCCTGCTCTAACACATTCTCCTGCCTCCAGTTACTGAACATGATACTTCCTTCTTGAAGTACTTAGAACATAATTTGGCTGCGGAGGATTTGCCTTTGGCAGGTGAAATATTTATCCTCACTAGTTTCTTTGTTTCCACAGCCGCGCTTTTGTCTGCAAATGTTGCAAGATCTATGTCTCCCAAGGTGCTGGGGAAAAAACTGCTGGAAATGGATTTTAATTATTTAGAGAAAAACATTGAACGTGCCTTTTGTTTTATGTTCACCTCGTGGCATTTTGTCTTTTGAATAAATGTGATGAAATCTAGTTAAACATCAAAGTCACATCTAAAAACAGTGTTGAAAGAATGAGCTGATTTAAATGAAGCCAATTCTAACTTTTTTGGTTGAGAAATTCAGAAAAAATGAGGTGACAGACGCTTGAATTACAACTACTTCAACAAAAGAGTGATATTAATACTTCAACAGTGAACCCTAAAAAAGAGTTATTTTATAAAGAAACATGTTGCTATGTGGCGTGTGTATACCTGCTGGATGATGTAAATGGCGTAGTGGAGCTGCTGCCTCTGCAGAAAGGGGTGCAGGTGGTGCAGGAGGTAGAGGAGGTGTTTCTCTCTCCCGCGATGAGGGATGAGGATGGCCACGCTCTGCCTCGCTGTGCAGTCCGAGGGCTCGAACTCGCCTTCAATCACTGCTTTGTTATCGCTCTCCACGTCCTTCCGTTTCAGAGAGGATTCAAAGGACAGCTTCAAAGCTCCCTCTGTGGAAGTTAGCAAATTCAAAACAGAAATCTGAGTGATTATTCTGTTACACGTGACTGATTTTAATGCTTCCTTTTTGAACCAATACTGGACAGAAAACATGTAGCAAATGCAATTCACACGTGTTTCTGTATAATACCGTTGATAAGAAGTGGGGGAGGAAACGTTTATAGAAAGACAATCAAAAAAAAAGGGGAATTAAACACTCAGTTGTAGTCAACAGTTTCCTAATGTCATGTTTGGTAAAGGTGGAGACCTTAAAAATGTTATATCATACAGAATGTGCAATATATACCTGGCTGCTAAATCCTCAGAACTGTTACAGCGTGGGTATTTTTGTAAAATGTGTAACTTTTTAAAATTATTTTTGTAAAATGTGTAACTTTTTTAAATTATTTTTGTAAAATGTGTAACTTTTTTAAATTATTTTTGTAAAATGTGTAACTTGTTTTTATTATTTTTGTAAAATGTGTAACTTTTTTAAATTATTTTTGTAAAATGTGTAACTTTTTTATTTTTTTAAATGTAACATTTGTAACTTTTTTAAAAATTACAAATTTCTTTTTTTACCTTTAGTACTTTTTTTTATGCATGCTTAGGTAACATTAAGCTGTCTTTGGCTCTTTTCAGCTGTAACAATGGACATTTCCCCTCTGTGGGACTAATAAAGATATTCTGATTCTGAACAAACCATTTGTACTTATCAAGCGGACACCACTGACAGGTGGATTAAGATTACTAATGAGAAGCCAAGCTGAATAAATAATACCAAGTAAACTGCCGTATTTAACCTGCACTTACGTAGCAGTGGAGACTCCTGAGGGCATTCATCCTTTGTTGCTGGAGTGATCAAGCGATCGGGGGTTGCCGTCAAAGCATTCAGTTTCTCCCTCAGGCTCTCTCCTTTGACAAGAGCTTGTGGCGTGGCAAATGAAACCGAAGCATTCTTTATGGTTTCACCGGACAAATTTGCAATCCATGCCAGCACGGACAGCGAGATGAGGAAGAGCAAAATATATTTCCCTCTCCTAAAAACCTTGCACACAGGCGAACAGAAGCCCATAGCTGTGTGACTGATCTGACGTGAGGACAGTGAAAGAGGCAACTGTAGCTGCTGTTAGATTTAGTTCAAGATATTTCCTCTGCGCAGGACATTTAACCAAACAGAGTTTCCCTATCCAGTCATCCCATGGCAATGAAACATTCAGAACTACACAGTGAATACACTTTATGATCACTGTGGAGTAAGCAACACTTATTGATGAAGATCCATCGCTGATCTCTCAAACTCCACTTTCAGGGTGTGAGGCCAAGAACTTGACAACTGTAGAATGATATAGAGAGGAAATGTGTTACGAATAATACTCTGATACATGTATACAAAACTACACACAGACAGGGCAGATCTAAGTTTCAAAGAAGTATCTACTACTTTTAAAATACAACAAAACACCTGGGTAGATGTTAATCCTAGAAAATAAACTGATATACCAGATTATTATTATTGTCCTTACTCTTTCAGGGCTATTTATTATGTTACACACTTCCTGAATGGTAATTTTAGACCCTGTGACTTAACACCTGTGTTCTCCTTGATAAAGTTCAGTACCACATCACAGAGCCACACCTTTCTCCTCATCTGTCCAAAAGAATCTATCAAAAATATAACTATTGTAATTATTAATAATCTGTTCATTGACTGCTCGATGAATCATTGATTACAATAAAACATTTCCTGCACAATTGTGTCCTCCTAAAATAACTTGTATTATCTGACGTGGCACTATAAAAGCTACCGTTAGACAACCAGATTTAAATTGCAGAACATTGATTAAACTCTAAAACTAATACAAATGTTATACAAGATGATATCAAGGCAACGCCCCCCAGGTTATTAAACAGAACAGTGATTATAAAACAAGTATATCATTTTAGTGTCCATTCTGAATTATGGCCTGTAGAAAATCGTATTAAAGAGTAAAGCTTAGATATTTAGTCAATTGTGTTTTTTTACCCTGATTTGGGGGATCGACAGTATCAAGCTAACGTCGGCTAGCTCTGAGAAACACACCACATATCTATATCTGCTCATATATCATGTACAACTGCATGACACTAGCGTTGCCTTTTACATGACTGACAGCTCCCATTTCTCCTGATTACGGTCCATGTTTTAATAACATTAAAAGCTCAAATTTGTTGAGAGAACAGGATCTGCAGTTGTGCCCAGGTGAGCTGTGTTCAGGGTTAGCATAGCTAGCTGACGAATGCAGATGGATGTAGTTACTGGGAAGTGCTGTAAAAGTTCAAAATTAGCATTAAGCTAACAGGAGCCCGAACACAGCATGGCAATATTTCAGTGAAACACAAGAAAGAAAGCTGCTGTTTGTATTGATAGATCATTATAAATTAGAGGTAAGTAGTTTGATTCGCGAATCTTACCTTTTTAGACTCAAGTAGACGTTACAGTTATATCGTCCCGGGAGACATCAAACAGTGTGTCATGGCAACGTAGATAACCCCTACTTCCGCTGGGTGTCTTTCATAATAAAAGCTTAAGCACTGAACAGAGAAAGACACATTAGCCCATAGAGTTTATAAGAAGAAAAAAACGTTTCTTGTAAAAGCTATTTATTACCATTAACACGCACATGTTAATAAGATACCCAGTGATAAAGGTTGCTCTTTTTTGCAAAGACACAGCAGCATCACAGCAGATCTTGGATTGCTTTTATTTTGAAGGCTACATAAACAAACAGGACATTTTCGCTGTTTTTTGGGTGGCTTGATTAAGCACAAAGCATGAATCATGTTTGGTGTAATTACTTCCGTTGTGTGGTTTTCAAAACAATAGTTGCCCTCATTAACATTTTTAGGTAATATTCTTCAAATGTTTGCCGAAAATGAATGTTATTGTATTACATTTAACAATGTTATATACAATAGTTTTGCATTCAATTATTGGTGTTAGCATCTTACATTTTTATATATTTGTATAGTTACTTGATGGTTACTAGAATGTTTATTACACTTTCTGCAACACTGATTGGGCCACGTTTATCTGAGTCTAAATTATATTAATCTATAACCATATGTTGGACTATAATATGTGGTTCTCTTTAAAATGTAACAGAAATAGATTGTGACAGCACCGCCTTATATAATAGAAAACATTGTTAACTAAAGGGGTGAAGGGGTTTCAATTGAATTTTGTAACATGTTACATGTCTAGTTGTACGAGTGTGGTCATTTTGCCTAATGTCTGTCTCATCACACCCTGCAGATCAAACAGACAACATGCTGCTCTCCCTGCTGGGCTACTCCGGCTCTGAGGATAAAGGTCGCGTCCTCCTGCCGACAGAGGAGGCTGTGCAGCTGCTCCTCAGCCAGCTCCAGGTCAGTCAGGATACTCAATGTCTCAGCATGTGATCCTACCATATGTGGGAGGTCTTGCACTCCTTAAAGGCCTTTTTACCTACTTTTGAATGTTGGACTTTCTCCCTCACTTGCATTTAATGTTGTTTGCCCCTCAATAATACCATTGAAATTGGAACTTGAGTGCATTTCTCAAGGTGTCGTTAGAAAGCTTAAAATACTTTTTTAAACCTTGGCCAGCCTTACTCACATTCATACATTTAACCATAACTGTTCCAAGAAGGCCTTAAGGAATAGTTTTCTTGGATCAACACTATTTATCAGCATTTCTCCTCTCAATTACCGTTACAGGAACCTTCAGTTGTTTATTAAAACAAAAGCAAAATAAACTCCTGTGTTTAAAAGAGAATAAGTATTAACATTAAAATATAGTGAGCACATACAGAATGGCCCCTTTCTCTTTGTTAAAATAAATATGTATACCATTTTATGGTCTTATTATTACTCAATTGGCCCTGAGTCTTTATAATTAGGACATAGTTACAGTTTAGATCCTTCACTCTTGATAATGAGACAGGGTGGATCAGTAAAAGTAGTTCCTTCTCCTCCCTCCTCTCTATACTGTGCCTCCTCCATAATGTAAGGACATACCTGTGCAGTGTAGGCCTATTGCGATATTGACATTAACATGTGAGATAGACCAGTTCTGTTTGCTGTTGTCAGTGACTTGTGAGAAGCAGACTGCAAGCAAAGAAAGGTTTTCTACACCAAAAAGTACCTCCTTCAGCACTTTTCCTATTTCTTTTCGATCTGTGGGTTTTTAAGTATTCAGATCTATACTTCTGAGAGAATTTGGGTTATTTATAGCAGCATATTGGATCATGTTTATCACAGTAAATATGTAATCATGTGTCAAAGTAATTAAAGTATTATTAGTTGTACAAGCTGCACAGTTGTACTCTTTGTGGGTGTATTACTTCAATTGTAAGTAAGTAGGTGTTTATAAATTAGTCTTTGCCTGGAGGGGATCAAAAGAATACATTCGGAAATCCCAAATGTTATATTACAAAAAAGGTGATACTCCTGATGTTGTGTTTTGGTCTCTGACATTGTGATGACACGAGTGACACTTTTAATTTCAAGACACATATATTTAGATTATTTATGTCCCTCTTCGTACCAAGAGACCCTGAATAAGGTGGCATCGATTTGACAATGTAATGTCGAGGAACTATAGTTTTTTTTTTTTGTTGTCTTGTGGTTGACCATAATGCAACGTAAGTACACAACTTTAATTCCACATCCTGTAGTGTATTGATTTATAATGTGACTCATACTGCACATCTTCTGGTTTCATTAATCCACTTACAAATGGAAATGCCAGGGTTGTCCACAAGTCAAATATTGATCCATGTTACCTGTCTTTGTGTTGTCCGTCCTAACAAACAGATGTTGTTAACTCTTGCTGTTACCGTTGGTTGGTTGGTAGGTTCATAGAGAGATGTGATAAACAAAATGAACGATCTAATGTAATGTTTTTATTTGTACAAAATCGTGTTTTAATATTAATAGGCTTAGCGTACATCAGGGTCATGCTGAAAATAATAAAAGTCACAGGATTCAGATAGTGTACAATATACATCTTTCTGAAAAAATGTAAAAAAAAGAAGACAGGAAAAAAAGAAGATGGGGAGGTATAAGTGTAAATTAATTTCAAATACACACAGCCAATTATTGGTATTGATGAAGGGTTAGGGTTAGGGGTGTTTGACACCACCACATCATGCGATCAGATGAGAGAGCTCCTCCTCGACTCCTCGAAGCTCAGGGACAGAGTTACTGTTCCACTGCCGAAGCTCATCCTTGGTTTGTGCTTTCCTGCATCGCTGTCATTGCCGTTGGTCTTGAGGCTGATGGATGAGGACGGGCTCGAGGCAGAAGATCCACCAATGCTACCGGATTTCTTTCTTGCAGCCGTATTATGTTTCAGTGTAGCTTTGGCAGCTACTTTGAAAGCGTGGGCCGCGGTGCTGCATCGGACTTCCTCAGTGGTGTTACTGGAGGGTTTGAAGAGGATGATGTAGACCTTGTTGAAGAAGATACAGGCCAGCATCCCAAAGCTGGATGCCAGTATAGCAATGACTTCCACAGCTGAAACAAACTTGCCGTAAGTACTAAAGTACGCAGGTATAAAAGAGATCCAAACAATAAAGAATATGAGCATGCTAAAGGTGATGAACTTTGCCTCTGTAAAGTTTTCTGGAAGTTTCCGAGATTTGAATGCAAAGAAAAAACATATAGCTGCCAGGAGGCACGTGTAGCCAATAAGAAACCCAAGAGCCATCACAGATCCCTCATTGCAGGTGATAAAAATGATTTCATCAATGTCGTGATTCCTGTAGCTGGAAGGAGGGGCGTTGTAAAGCCACACCACACATATCATGACTTGGACAAATGTGCACAGAAACACCAGCAGGAACTGCAGGTTCAATCCCCACCATTTACGATGGAGACTTGTGGGGATCTTGGCTTCAAATACCAAAAGTACTCTGTTTGTTTTCACAAGGATGCAGGAGATACAGAGAACAAAGCTGATACCAAAGGCAGGTTGACGTAAACGACATGTCCAATCCTGTGGCTCTCCAATGAAGACGAGGGAGCTGGAGAAGCAACAGATCAGTGAGAATAGGAGGACGTAGGACAGTTCTCGGTTTGTGGCCTTCACTATTGGGGTGTTGCGAAATCTGACAAAGACTCCCATCACAAACGCTGTCATGAACACACCCAGTACTGCACATATGGCCAAAGCTATCCCGAATGGCTCTGTCCAGGAGAGAAACTCGATTTCCTTCAGGAAGCAGAATGTGTGGTTCCCATTGGACCAAGAGTTATAGGGACACTTGATGCAAACACTGGCATCTGTTTGAAAACAAAAGTAATTTGTGTCAGAACGGCAACATTAGAAAGGTTTTACATTAGTAGATTGGGAGTGTTTGTCATTTCGATACCTTTATGATTACTGTACTCTCCATCTGAGCACTCAGTGCATTCAAAGCAGCATGTGGGCATACTGTCGATGATCCCCTTTCTGGTACCAGGCTCACAGTCCTCACTACAATTAGAGAATGGCACCTATAGGATGTAAAGGTGAGAACAAACAGTTGTAATGGACGTTCAAATATCATTGGTGTAAGGTTTTATAAACAAAGTGTGACTTTGCAAAAGGCTTATCTTTTTTTAGAGGACATTATATGGTTTTACTACAAAGTCAGCTGGGATGTAACGGAAGGAAGTAAGGGGCGAGGGGTTATGATATTTAGATTAAGGACCTAAGAAAATTAAAACCCTTAGACTACCAGGATTTCTCCTGATCTGGGTAAATTGGCGTGTGAATATTCCCCAACATACAACTTACAGACACACTCTTAAACTAATTACACATAATGTGCAATGTGACAGCAGTTACATTGTTATTTATCAGCGAATTCTGCCACTCCCCTCAGCTAAAACAAGTGTTTTAGTATCTTTTATCCCATTGTTTTTGTTTTATTACACCTCACACTTACTGATTAGTTCACTCCCACCACTCTCTGTGATTTTGTTTACAGCTCTGGTGAAACCAATGTATGCAACCTTCCCTATTTGAGCGGCTAGCACTTAATTAGTATTTGCTTACAATATTATCAGGTAATAATACAATGTTGTATTTACAGCTAGTTCTACTGCCTCCAAGTGGACATACCAAATACCAAGTCCCATTGTTGGTGCAAGGGCTAAGATCATCTTAGCCTTAATGTTAAAATATGGCCCGCCAGCAGTCGTAACAATGTACATTTGCAACAGTTTCAATAATTTGTCTTTCCTTGCTTTGATTATTAGGAAGATCATTTCAGGGTAATGAAAAATACACCAAATGACAGTGGGAAACCGAATATGTTACTGTAATGGGGAGATCCTCTAAAAACAGTTAGACTGACCTCAGAGCTGTATCCATTCCACAAAATCTGAGTCTTATCGATAAACAGTTTGGCCCCCCTCTTGATGTGCATGTTGTAGTATCCAACCTCCTGAAACAACACAGAACCGTCCTCAGCAGACCTGTGCCAGTTTATGATGGTGTAGTTTGCTGCCAAGTCTGCGTTCTCATCAAAGTGCATCTTTTCGCCCATACTGTTGGTGTAGTTCAAGTGTCTGAGCTGCTTCAGGACCTAAGAGACAGAACCACACATTTGAATGCTTCAAAATGGTAAATTATTATGAATGTCATTGCTTTGTTTTGGGGTATTTGTGCAACATTTTACCTGCCATGCTTCCATTTTCTTTAAATCTGCACATGAATGGTTGGCAAACAGTCCTTGTCCATGTGTGCAGATGAGTATGTCCTGCAGGGCCTGTGCAATGGAATAAACTGCAACATACACATTATAGGAGATACGAAGGTGTGTGAAGTCCAGGTATGGGGTCTCAACATTCGTGATGTCTTCTTCACCAGTACACAAAGGCCTGAAACTAGTGCTGCCATTCTCACTCTCATGCTGCCTCGGAATGTCCTCCAGATAGCAGTTAAAAGTTTCTTCCCAAAACTCCCTGACAAATTCATTATGACTGTCTCTCTTTGGTTTGACTTGTTGTAAGAACCCTCTAAAGCCAGGTATATGCCCTGCCTTTAGGGCAACACCAATAGTCCCCGCTACAACATCAAGATACTCTGGTTTAGCAATGAGAGAGGAGCTAGCCCACGCTTCACTGGCTAACCAGGTGCGATCTGTGATGTTTCTCCTCACCATCTCTTTGATTAAAGGCTCCACATCTGGGCCACTGGCAAACACAACAATGACTTTAGCGGTGGAGTTCTCAATCCTGTCAGCCAGTGCTTGGATTTCATGATCCTCAAAGTACTGAGAAATGAGTTCATTAAGGTGAATGCAGATGTCTCGCTCTTCCATCTCCTTCTCAAACTTCTCGATGCCTGGGCGTCCGTAGTCATCATCTGAAGCCACAGCAATGACCCAGTTCCACTCAAAGTACTCAATGATGTCTGCCATGGCTGTGGCCTGGTACTCGTCAGTAGGAATGGTTCTCATGAAGGACTTGTACTGATTCTTGTTGCTCAGTAGGCGACTAGAAGAGGCATAGCTGATCTGAAACAGGAAATATTTCACGTAATTCAACATAAAGGTTTATCAAGTTGGTGATAAAACATCATCCAGGAGACTGAGTAAATGTTTTATCGAGTGCACATTTATTGTCGACAACATTTTCAGGATGCAGGTGAAGTGTTTTGCGGGACTCACCTGAGGAATATAGAAAAGACCCAGTAGGTTTGCGACAGCTGTAGAGACGGCAGACCCGGCCGCTCCTACTACTGCTATGGTGGCTGGGATGTGATCAGTGCAGTTACAAAATTCATCTAAATTCAGGGAGTCTATCTTATTTTGGGCCACAAAGCTAAGCGTAGCTTCCAGGGCTTTTGACACTGTGTTGCATGTGTCAAAGATCCTGTAGCCCAGGGTGATGTTAGGCAGGAGGTCACTGCTGTTGTTTATCTCGTCAATCGCAAAAATCATGGCCTGAACCCAACGGAAACCACGGAAATTGAACCTGTGGAAGCCAAAAACAGGTGGATGTTAGACAATTTGAGCAGACTCATTCAGTAAAATCATAAAAACCAGTTTCATAATTTTACCTGACACACTGTGTGGATTCAGGCCGAGCGGCGAGGTCTTGGTCTTTGGATGCGACTCCAAAGTGGATGGGGAAAAGACCTCCGAGCAAAATATCCCCGGTCTTCTGAGCTCTCTGATGGGGCCCGTAAGTTGAAATCACATAACTGGACCCCATCACGATCAGGTAATACAGAACAAATCTCATCTTGTCTTTCTAATGGACAGGATTATTTTTCCACAACTCCCTGGAGTGACGGCTCTCTCAGTTTTATCTTCTCCTGTCAATCTTCCTGCTGCGCTGTTTTGCGTTTTTCATGTTTACACTGATGAGATTTCTGACTGTAGAAAAAAGGAAAAATGTATTATACTTTTGTATGGGCTGAATTCACATCCTTTTTAAAATAAAACAAAACTTTGTATTAATGCAAATAAAAGTGGCTATTAAATGCTTTTTATTTCTTGATAGCCTTAACAATATATATATATATATATATATATATACATTCTTATAGGGATTTAGCAGTGTGGATAAACGTTAGTCACTGAGCTCACTTTCCCACATAAGGCGTGACAGAGGTAAAAAATGTTGTTAATAGCCAACATCACCTGAGGCTACTACCACCTATTCTAACAGGACTACGCAGTTACATATGTTTTGGAGTTAAGCGTTTCTGCTCTAGTAATGTTTTAAGAAAATAATCATTTTAACTTTTCACACCTCAGTAACACTGCAGTCCTGCAGCTGGAAATATCCATCTGAACCAAAATAGATTGTGGATTTAAATTAGTGAAGTCACACTCTAATGACCCTCCTTCCTGCGAGCGCTCGGTCTCATGCTGTGGCCAGTGAACCCAGTCACCATGGAGAGAAGCCGTCTGCGCCTGGCTAATACTGCTGGAAAAATGCTGGGGCAGAGCTGTGATAATGAAGGAGCTAACGGCTGTAAGAGCCTCTGTTTGCCGCTTTCACAGCCTAAGTTCCACACATAGCTATATCAAATTGGTTTTCATTTAATTTTGCCATTATTATTGGTGGAAAGTGTATTCAGCAATAAATCCTCAAATACCTACAAAATACATTTTAGAATATAATCATTCAATTTTCCAATGTCAAACTTTGTGATGTCCTCCATGCACAATCAGCTTTTTCAAGCGTTGGAATTTGCTTGGTGCTGAGCTTAAAACGTGAGAATTCTATATAAATCTGTACTTCTCTTTACTTTGTTTTAAAAGTGTTAGCGTGATAGACATTATGTACACTATGTGTGTACCTGCCAAAGGACTGCATCATCAAGGATTAGGGCCACATCTTTTAGATCTGACCAAAAGTGAATTTTGGGTTATTTGATTAAAGTCAGAATTTTGATAATTCATTCTGTATTTTTTCTCAGAATTCTGACTTTTTTCTCAGGACTGAAAAAAACCCACGAGGCTCTTATTCTCTTGCGCACATTCTTTCTCTCTTTGAGACCAATATTTTTATTATATATAATCCTTGTTAAAAAACAAACATAATAATACAAAATTAAAAAATTACAATTTACCTACCTTTTCAATAAAGATTAAAAAAACAGTGTTTACTAGCAAAGCAAAGTCTGCAGTATGATCTTTATATTTTAATTTTGTTAAATAGCCTTGTTTATTTCTACATAGAAAAGTTATTCAATGATTTTGAACTCCAATTAAAAAGTCATTAAAACAGCAAACGTGGAAAATAACATCAAACTTACCCCCTGAACTCCTGTGGGTTTTAAATAGGCTTGAAACAGTTAACCTGCAGGTATGCACAGATATTACGGCCTTTTCTCCAAAATGTCCCGAGTGCTGAATGAATTCACTGGACAATGGTGTGAGCTTATGAACCTCTCTCTGTAGATTAATCATTAACAGGGAGAGGGGTAGTCCATTTCCTTCAGCTAATGAAGTCTACTCACAGTTCACTTCACCTAAACTAAAGTCATCACAACCTACAGTTGTAAGATTAGACATAATAGACTTTTAGTACAGCGTTACAAGAATACAATAACACAAACTGGTTTCATCATGTGACACCAGCTAGAATATGAGATGGAAACACATTGTAAAAGTTATTGTCTACAGCCCTAATTTACGTGTTTTTCAAGTAGTGTAACCCGACTTTTGTGTCTGTACTACCACACATGGATTTTTTCGTATGACATCTCCAATTATAAATTAAACCTTCTAAAGTGGCTCTCTAATGGCGCTTTTCCACTGCAGGGCCTCGCTCGGCTTAGTACGGTATGGCTAGGCCTCGTTAGGCCTTGTTAGGCCAGGCTCACTTTATGCTGCGTTTCCATTACAGTTTAGGAACTGGGGTTGTAACTATAGTAACGCAGTGTGGGCGGAGCCGTGATGCCATCTTCAATGTGAAACACAAAACCAACATCAGCCATTAGCTGTTAGCCCTCAGAGCTCACAACTCCTCATATCTGTTCAGAAACTAGACAAAAGTTAAACAAGTACAAACCACAGACTGTCTGTGTCATGGCGAATACAGTCGCTGGTTTATTTATGTCTGTATAGGCCGTTGTTGTGAGTGTGGACGGTCGGAGCATACTGCGTTAGCTTAGCCGATCTCCATTGAGAAAACACGCATTTTAAAAGGTTTTCCGCCTGCCGTCTTGTCTGCAGACTTGTCAAAGCATTAATTCATGGTTTTTACTAACCGGTATCAGTATGTTGTTACTTCAGCATCATTTTGAAACGTGTATTACAATTAAATCACGGTAAAATATGTTCATTTTGTAGTTGCCATTTTGCAGTTGCCAGTTGATTACTAGTCAAATTCCTAGTATTTGTGAACCTACCTGGCAATAAACCTGTTTCTGATTCTGATTCTCTCACTAGTTTAGCATACTCAGCCCGGTTGATGGCCCGGAAGGAACCTCGATTTTGGAGAGCCAGAAAACTGTGAAAAAGTACGCGCTAGCCGGAACTACGCCTAGTGTAAACACAACCAAAAACGGGCCGGGCATGGCACGCTTAAACCGCGCTGTAGTGGAAATGCGCCATAAATGCAGAGGTGTTCATCAGTGGCCCTCTACCGCCAGTCAGAAGAGGAGTGGAGAGATTCAGCAGATTGTTCGCACTGAACACGTGGCTTTCAACTGCCTGTACTGACCATTTTGCCCATTTTATTGACAATTTTTAACTTTTTCTGGGACCGCAGACATCTTTTTAAGGCAGATGGAGTTTGCCTGAACAAGTCAGGAGTGAAATTGTTTATCTCTAACATATTCAACTGCCTGTGTCATCAATCTGTTCCCTCTGCCAAGCACAAGCAACAAGAGGAGTCAAAACAAGAGAAAGACACAACACATCGCTCAGAAAACCTTGAAGATGTATCACTGCACCCGCCTGAGGAATGTCTTGATTATGGGAGACCTATGACACAAATGGAGGAGTCTCCACTGCCCTTCAACCCCCCTATCACCTTTGAGGATACTCTTCCTTCACCTCCCAGCTCTCTCTACTCTCCGTTCACCCTTTCACCCTCGCCCACCCTCCTGGAGTTTGACCACATGAAGGAGATACAGAGGGTTGGCACCAAGTCCTTCCTGGAGATCAATGACCGCATGAAGGCGATACGCAGGGTTGGCAGCATGTCCTTTACCCCCGCCCCTCAACGACTCCCACCACAACCACAGAAGCAGAGATGCGCACCATCAACCCCGTCTTCATCACCGTGCCGACGTCAACCACCTCCCCACCCTTCAAGACAGCATCTGCAGTCTCCGAAGCCTGATAAGAATGTGTGTGTACAAAACGCAGCAAACTCTAACTGATATGTGCTGGGTCCAGGCTGAAGGGCATATGGCAGTCTCAACTCTTTCCAGGACAAGCCGGGGCCCTGCTTGCCAGTAGCTTTGCCGATATCTGTGTTGATAGGTAATAGATTAAGAGCAGTGAATCATCTTAGATACAGGAAGCGCTCAAACGTTTGTGGGAGTTTATCAAATTTAGCAGTGATTCCATGTCAGCCACAGCTTCTCACACAAAATCTGACTGATAGTGTATTTAACAAACTTAAACTAGCTTTATTAAATGTCAAGTCTTTGGCAGGAGAAACGTTTTTAATCAATGATTTTATCACTGAGCACAATCTCATTTTTATGTTTTTAACGGAAACTTGGATTGAACAAAATAACGGTGCAGCTCTTATTATTAAATCAACACCTCCCGATTTCAGTTTTATGAGTCAGGAAAGAATGCATAAGAAAGGAGGTGGAGTTGCTATTTCCTTCAATGATTCCCTTCAATGCAGGAAGACATCTTATGGAACATGAATATGTGGCCCTTCTGCTGAAATGCTGCTCTCGAGCTCTGTTCCTAAATATCCATAGACCACCCAAATACTGTGCAAGCTTTTTTGATGACTTTACTGAACTGCTGTCTATAGTGTGTATCGACTTTGACCGTCTAGTCATTGTTGGTGATTTTAACATCCATGTTGACAACCCCCAGGACAGAGGGGCTAAATAACTGTTTTGTGTTCTTGATAACTATGGACTGACTCAGCATGTGACGGAGCCCACGCACAATAAGGGGCACACTCTGGACTTGTTTATCTCAAAGGGTCTGAATATGTCTTAGGTTGTGGTGACTGATGTTGCACTCTGCAAAAGCTGAACGCAGGTAGCGAAAAATAAATCTCTAGGTTCATTTTGAAATCTATAAAGAGAGACTTGGCTTTTATAATTTAGAATTGAAAATTGCACGACAGTCTTTCTTCTCTGACATAATTGCCAAAAACAAAAACAACGCACATGCCTTGTTTGCTACCGTTGACAGACTAACAAACTCCNTTACTGAACTGCTGTCTATAGTGTGTATTGACTTTGACCGTCTAGTCATTGTTGGTGATTTTAACATCCATGTTGACAACCCCCAGGACAGAGGGGCTAAATAACTGTTTTGTGTTCTTGATAACTATGGACTGACTCAGCATGTGACGGAGCCCACGCACAATAAGGGGCACACTCTGGACTTAATTATCTCAAAGGGTCTGAATATCTCAAAGATTGTGGTGACTGATTTTGCACTCTCTGATCATTCCTGTGTTTTCTTTGAGAGCTCTATTTCTGTTCACAAAAAAATTCAAAAAGGGAGGTAACCACAAAGCGATATTTAACTGAAAATACAAGGGAAAATGTTTACTCAGAATTTTTCTTCCACACTTGCCCC